AAACTGGAAACAAACCCCCCCCCCTCTCCCTCTGTGGTAGCTAGGTCAACCACATGATGAACAACTGGCTTTCTTTCATTCTAACACCGAATTACCATCTGGCTTGTCTTGTTTAGGGTTTTGAGAGCTCCTTTTTGGTCAAAGAAGAAGGCACCGACTCTTTGGTTAATTTGTACTGAGCTAGATTGCTCCCCTTTATCTTCTCTTGTTTGTGGCCTCACAGTTTTGAAAGAGAAAATCTTCTGAATAAGAGACCAAATCTTCTTTACCAGGTGAGGTGAGGCCTTGTTTTGTTCATTTCGCTATAAAGTCCTCACCCCACCTTTTTTTTTTTCCGTCTTAACTTTCTTTCTTTTCAATCATTATTTATATTGTGGTTGTTTGATTTCTGTTATTCAAGATCTAGTGCGATCATAAGAAGCTCAAGAATTTCTTAAGTGGATCATCATGAACTTTGTTGGAGGAGAAAGAGGGTATTTTGATAGAGAAGAACAAGAAGAAGAGGAAGCCATGTCAAGTAAGCTTCCCTTTGCTTCCCCTTGTACATCATCTTCTTCTAGCAAATACAAAAATTTTCTTCCTGAGCACCAGAATCTGTGGCCTCGTTTATTTGATCAGCCACGGCAAGATAGCAAAACCCAAGAACCATCTCTCAATTTTGACAAGAAGCTAGAGTTCATGGAATTATCGTTGGGAAATAACAACGAAAGTGAGAGCTCTAGTACTGATGCCGGGGGCGGTGCTACTGAGTCTATTGAGAGAGAGCACATGTTTGACAAAGTAGTGACCCCAAGTGATGTAGGCAAACTAAATCGTCTTGTTATACCAAAGCAACACGCAGAGAGGTACTTCCCTCTTGATTCTTCATCGAATGAAAAAGGCCTCCTCTTGAACTTTGAAGACCGGAACGGCAAGCCATGGCGGTTCAGATACTCGTATTGGAATAGTAGTCAAAGCTATGTAATGACCAAAGGCTGGAGCAGGTTTGTCAAAGAGAAAAGGCTTGACGCAGGCGATATTGTGTCGTTCCAACGCGGTGTTGGTGAGTCAGGCAAGCACCGTCTGTTCATAGACTGGAGACGCAGGCCTAATGCACCAGATCCAACACCATTCTCACATTTAGAGCTCCAAAATCAGCTACACTATCCACAATCCTTGCGGTGGGGTAGGCTGTACTCCATGCCCCAATCTAATTTACCCATGCAGCAACCTCAATTGCAACATTTGAATTACAGCATTCATCCTTATCAACACCATAATCATCAGTATCCTTATCATCAACCGTCCACCATTAGTTATGGCAATGCTGCGCAGTATTACTTAAGGCCACCGGCGGTTACATTTCCAATTGGGGCAGTGCATGAACAAGGAGGAAGTCATGTGCCAGTGGTGTTAGACTCAGTGCCAGTTGTTCATGGGAAGACTGGGGGGAAGCGGCTAAGGCTTTTTGGTGTAAACATGGAGTGTCCTACACAAAATGATCCGTCATCTTCGGTTACAATGATCAGACATGGGACATTGGATTCACTCTCCCCTCATTTGGCTTCCTCTTCTCTCCCTCCTCCTCTCCAAGTAAGGGAACCCACTGGTGCTCCAATGCAAGCTGAGTTTTCTAAGAAAGGAAAGGCTTCCTTATCTTTTGATTTGGATCTTTGATCACACCTGCACAACAAGTGATGAAGATCCCATTTCTTTCGTTCCTAGCAATTTATAAGTTTTACCCTTTTTTGAGTTTCTTTTGTCGATTGTTTAAATATTGTCGGTAGATTAATAGACGCGGTTTTGGGTATATTGTGAAGAACAAGCGATGGAAGAGAAGTGAAAGAAATGTGGAGTTTGACAAATCCTTCAACTGTGTATAATACATATATACAGATAAATATCAGGAATATTTCCATCATTGTTTTTCCTTTAGTAGTGAATTAACTTATTGCTATATAATATATTAACTGTCTACATGCAATGGTGTCTGCCCAGTTTGTATGGGTTAATATTGTTCCCTCTTTAGCTATCAACTATTTCAAGCTTACTCTCTCTCTCTCTCTCTCTCTTGATGACGCATTTTATGGCACATTGCTTGAGAGTGGATATATATATAGTCGAAAGTTCTTCCTACAGCTCTCTCTCCCTGTTCTTTTTTTTTTTTTTTTTTTACCCTTTTTA